TTTCACCACGAATTTCTTCATACCCTTCTTCCTGATATATATAACATGGCAAAGAACTTTGAGAAGTCGATCGTTTAATCAAACACAAGATACATGATTTGCAACTATAGCATACTGCGTACCCCTTCAGATAATGATATCACTTTGATTGCAACCATTTCTGAAGTTTTTAAATCACGAGCTTTGTAAACAGACCCATAAGAACCTTTTCCTGTGATTAAAAAAAGACAGCTTTCAGTAACTTTGTTCTAGATGGATAAAATAGAAAGACGACCAACTGAAAGACTATTTGCTAGACCTCCTCATTTCTTTAGAACAATAAAGGTAAACAGATTGATGAGAATTGCAAAGATTAGGGCAATTAGTAGGTTCATCCTGATTTTGTTTGGCTTAAATCCAGTTGAAAATCGTGTGAAGAACAAAAAAAAAACCAATGACTGAATTACGAAAAACCATAAGTCATATAGCAATCGAGATATCATACATATGATTGTAAAGTAGATTTCACCGGAAGAAACATGAATATTGTACCAAGTTCATGAAGCAATTCGTACTTGGTAGATGGATCTTCTCTCGTAACACTATCCGCAATCGAACCCGAAGACATTTTACTTGTCTGCTTCCGAGAATACCCTCCTTCTTCATCCTGTGAAGATGATGTCGGCGTAGCACTCCCTTTCCTTGGCTTCCCAAATCCTTCTCCTACAGCCTGCATACTAGCAACCGCCCTACTCATTGTTGACATCCCGCCACTGCCGCCACTAGTCCGCCGCACAAATGTCCCGGATACTGACTCACTCTCGGTATCCTTCGATCTCACCACAAACGTCCCAAAACCAGCGCCTTCTTCATCTTCGTCTTCTTCTTCATCGGATTCCTCTCTCCTATACGGAGACTGCACGCGTCTACGATCAGTTTTTACAATCATTGTACCGGAGATGTTTTCTCCATCGTCGTCGGAATCTACATCGGCTCCGAAGTCTTTCGGCAGGTGCTTGAGGAGAGGAGGTAGTGATTCTTCGTCGTTTGGATCGTCATCATCTTTACATAGCATTGTAGCGTATATATCTCCTGCATCTGCCTTTTTAGGGTTCTTTTGAGTTTGGGCATCGTCATCTTCCTCATCGCTATGAACTACAAACGTTGAGTAGAGCTCTGACTTTGTCGGCTTTCTGCTCGTCCGGCGAGCAGCCGGAGAAAAGTCCATCTCTCCGGGTGTAAGTGTGTGTATCTATCTGTACCGGAGTCCGGGTTTAACAGCCACTGTCAAGAATCAAGATGAAGAAACATGAATATTTCCATGTTTTGCCCTTCAACTTTTAGTATGCTTTTAAAAAGTCCTGAAAAAGTATATCTATTGATTATTCGATTAGGGATAAGAAATATTTGATTTGGAACCTAAAAAAACTGAAAATCAAATTATATTAAATAAAATCAAATGTTAATTTGGTTTTCTTTGTTTTCAGAGTAAATAAAATTATAAAGTTGATTTATGGTTTGAGTTTTGGTTTCATTATAACTGAACCATAAACCAAACCGAATTATCAAATTTAATTTATTTATTTATTCATTAAATAATTTAATACTTTAAGTTGAATCCAAACAATTTTTTTCTTACAGTTTTATGTATTTTTTTATTTTTTGTATTTAACTGCTATGAAAAATTGAATCATAAATTTCTTGTTTGGAACATTGAAACTTCTAGCATTTACTTTTAGCCTTAAAATTTGTTTTTTTTTTTTTTTCAAACCAAACCAAACCAAATTGTAATTAGGTTTTTTGTTTGGTCATAATAGCCTTGAATTTGGTTTGGTTTTCTTTTTGGTTTACACCTAAAAAAAGTCAAATCATAAATGAAATGGATTGCTACCCCTACATTTTATCACGAAAACTATAAAATTATTACTTTGAAGTCCTAAAAGAATGTGAAAATTCAAGAAAACAAGTTTTGATAATTTTTCATAGGGCGTGATTCAGAGTTCAATCAAATATGATAGTTAAAAACAATTCGGGAGTAAAATAACAAGAAAAAATAACTTATTAGGGTAATCATCTTTATCGTTTTGTTCATATTTAGGTAATTTTTTTGTACACATTTAATCATTTAACTTGTTATGTGTTCACATATTATCATTATCATCGGTTATCTCAGCTAACAAGGATAACATGTAAACACATTTAACAATTTAAATTATCAAATTTGCACAACAAAATAGAAATCGTATAAATGTTTAAAAAAAATTATTACTATGATAAGTCATTTTTTCCACATTTAATTGGGATTTTATTTTTCATATGTGTTTGTAATTTTTTTTTCAAACGTTATTTTTATAGCATCCATAGTGTTCTAAATAATAATTAAATATTGGTCACTTCTAAACTTTGCTTTTTATACAATAGATATGTTTTTGTTTTGTGAAATATTTTATATAGCCTTTTATATTTTTTTTTCTTTTGTTTTTAAATATAACAATATTTTTAAAGTAAATAGTATCTAACAATAAAATTAAATGAATTAAATATTTAAAAATAAGTATGAGGATCTTTTAATGTAAATATTTTTAAGTTATTACAACTTTTTAATACTTTTTAATTAGAAGTTTATAAACTCTTACTTTTTTTAATACAACGTTTTAAACTAGTATTTAATAAAATATTTTAAAATGTTACAAAATCTGTGAAACACTTTAAAAAAGTTGTAAAAAAAAAGTTTAGAAATAATTGTATGAAAATTATAAAAAAAAAAATGTATGAAAATGTAAACAAAAAAAGTTTAAAAGCTTATAAGAAAATTTTAAAAATACTTATAAAATATATGATTTAAAAGCACTTGTATTAAATTTATATGAAAGTATAAAAACAGTTTATATATATATATATATATATATATATATATATATATATATATATATATATATATATAAAAGCAAAGTTTAAAACATTAAAATAGAAAGACCTATGGAATATATATATATATATATATATATATATATATATATATATATATATATATATATATATATATATATATATATATATATATCATAAAATATTATAAAAAATTATAAAAAGTCTTAAGAAAATTGTATATTATATATATATATATATATATATATATATATATATATATATATATATATATATATATATATATATATATATATATAATTTAAGTTGTTAAATATGTGAATATATTTAACAAGTTAAATTGTCAAATATGTATAAAAAAAAAGTCATCTAACGTGAACAATACAAAAAGATAATTACCCTGACAAATCATTTTCTCAAACAATAATCAAGGCAAAGTTTGTTTGGATCAATCCTTAGCTTTGTTTTAAATTTACATTTTGTGTTAGTCATCTTAAATTTTTATGAAACTAATAACTAATTAGGTATGTATATGAAATAATAAAATTTAATTGTTCATTATGGTATTATACAATCCTATTTTTACTTTTTTAAATATTTTATTTTAATTTTTCTTGTTAAACATTATATATCAAAATATTTATTAATAGTGAAAATTATATTATACCGAAATGATATAGGGATGTCAATGTTTTTATATATGATGTTTCTATAGAACCAATTCAAACTATTCATTGGATTTTGAATCATCGGAACTGATTCAATGTAACCAAATATGATCATTCGGACTTTCGAATGAACCCCTCCAATTAAAAATAGATATAATTGTTTTACCGATTGGGTATTTGCTACTAGTATCCAACATATCTAATTGAAATTGTCATGTCAACATTCAATTTTTTTTTATTGAGTTTTACATCCAATTACAACCAACTAAACTACCATACATAATTTTTAAAAGTATTTATGATATAAATAGGTGACAAACTATCTAAAAAGTTTCAAAAATGTTGTTAGAATGTAACAAAATTTTATTTTCACTTTTAAAAGACCATTGTAACCTGGAATTGTAATCTTTTAAAAATAAAAAACGAAATTTGTTGCCTTTAGTTCAATTGTATTTTAAAAACGTTTAAGATATCTTGTTACTCATTTATGTCATTATCTCCCACTTATTACTACCTTGAAGGTTAAATCTGCAACCACTTTAAGGTTGGCAACTTGGCATGTAACCACTTTTGAGACGTAACTATCACATTATTTGAGTATATCTCTTTAATTTGAAATTTTGGATTAGTATTTTAATAGTATCCATTTATAGAAATTCGGTATACGTATTGAATTTCAATCTATGCTTAATGGAAAAAGATTTAACTTGTATCTTAGAAGTGTATATGTTTGTGTGAAGCGATGTTGTAGCAATTCTAGATCCAATACGACACTATAAACCTCCATCGGTGGAGATCAATATAGTAGGAAAAGTTTTGCTACTTACATTTTCAATGAGAATCTATTAGATGTTAATTTATGTTTGGCTTTGCCATTTGTCATATGTTTGATTGTGTTATAACTAACATTTTCAATGAGAATCTATTAGATGCGAAGAATTTTGAAAAATATGATGATGCAACCATGGACCACTCGAGACAGATATCAATTATAGACAAATCATAAAGAAACAACTCACTTACCGAAATGAATGAAAGTGTTAAGTGAACCTAAAAGGCCGACTAGTGTTATTGAAATGAATTATTACAACTTTCCTTAGTGAAAACCCATAAAACCGACTAGTGTCATGAAACTAGTGTGGAGTTTGACAAGTATAACGACACAATTTGGATTAGTTTATACAAAATGGATTGGACAACATAAATAGTGCTTAAGGAAGGTTTTCTCATAACATATTTCACCTTATTTGTAATTTAGGATAAATTTCCATGATTAAAAAAAATCAAAAAGTGATTACATATTTACATGTCAACCTTAAATTGTGGAGGGGTCAACTAATAATAAATAAGAGATAATGTCATAATGACATAAATAGGTAACAAACTTACATAAAACATTTTTAAAATACCATTAGACTATAAATATTATAATGTAACAAACTTTCATTTTTGTTTCTAAAGACCATGGTAACCAGAAAAAACTATTATTATCTGTTATAATGATATTTTAAAAACAAAAATAAAACTTTGCTACCTTCGGACAATATTTATTTAAAAAACAAAATCCGTACTCAAAAAAAATAGCTATTTTACACAACCCCTTATTTCAACTCTTCCAAATCTCCTAATATAATCTAATCGGTCCCACAACCAACATAGGGCAAGTAAAGCTCTGTCTTTAACCTGATACCTGTCTTATAGATTCTCACCTCCTTACTGTTAAACAAGATTCACAGGAGCAGGAATGATACCCCATCTCCTTCTCACATCCTCTAAATCTTCATCAAAATGCTTCTCATAATAAACACACATAAGGTCAGTCGCTTTCATACCTGCCCGAACTGCCCAAGGAAAATAATGACGATAAAACAACACCCGTTGCTTGTCACTAAACCTAGCGGTCCCACCAATAACAGACAAGAAACACATCGGAAGCAACATTTGCTCAAACTCTATGACTTTCAATGCTGACTCACCAATCAAATTTGTTGGAAGGCCAAAAAGGGTGTGCCAAAAATCGTGCACTTCACGTGCACGCATGGCGACATATGCCAGCTCATCAGTTTCCATGAACCTTACAGGTGGCCTATCGTCTGGCGAGAAGTTTCTTGATCCCATGAACTTTGCATATGCTGCCCCAAACGTGTTCTCGGGCAGGTCCCACGCGTGCCCGACATTTTTGGAAATGACACGTGGCCTGTCCAATAGTATTTCCTGGAATATAAAAATAGTTATCATGTTTTTCTTTTACAAATAAAAGATTTACATTTAACAAAAAACATACTCTGCCTTGAGGGTTTGATTTCATTCTTTGAAGAACTCTTTGAAAAGCAGGTTTTCCAGTTGTTTCCCCTAAAGCAGCTATCAAATCGGCTCTTCTTGGATCCACTAATGCACCAACTGCAGACCCAAGGGCAACTGCAGCCTGTTGCCAACCCTTAAGTCTCACTCTGCCAAAACCTTCTGCCATGCTGGATTTGTAATTGTAAGCTGACAAAATTCAACTTTTAAATCATGATAAAAGAAACTCACATTGTAATATTTGAATTGAAAGATGAACTCAGTTGTTAAGGCTGAGAAGCTAGGAGTACCAGTTATTAAACAGAAATGAGAAGCATTATATATAGATGAGAATATGATAGTTGTCATTTTTCCCTAAACATATTGTAAGGGCTAATTACAAAAGGATCCACCAAGGATTTGTTGCAATTCTATGAAGAAGTTCTGACTTCCCTTGTTAACTACAGCCCAATTGAATTGTCAAACTTAATCATCCACAGATACTCAAACACGATGATCAAATTTGATCATCTGAGTTTTTGTATAAATCATTGTGGAATTTTATCAAACAGTTGGTGCTCATAAAATAAACACTACAAAAAGTTGAAACGAAAAATACTAAAAAGGCGACAATTAGGGGTCCATTGAAAAACAAAATCCTTTTCTCAAATACACTTCATCTTCACTACCAGCTGAGATGCAACAAGCAGATAAAAAACATGCAAAAAACAAAAAGAAGCAGCAATATTAAACGAGGACCTAGAAAACGCAATACCAGCAGAGAGAAGAAATCGCTGAAAAAGTTCCGGAGAGGAATTGAAGGTGGTTCGAATAGAACAGCTGAATACTCGACCTCAATTGCTCCTGGGCTTCTCTAATGCGTTTCTTGAATACTCGACGCTCGATGATTTCTTGATCGATGGCAGCAAATTGAAGAAAGAGAGAGGGAAGAATCAACGGAAATAGGGAATAGATGTACTTTTTTCCTTATGGTTTTAACCAACTTTATATGGAGTATATCAACAAAGCCTACGTAGCATAGTGGTAGTGCGTTCCCTTCGTAAGGGAAAGGTCGAGAGTTCGATCCTCTCCGTGGGCTGTTTTTAAATTGATTGTTCAATTACTTTTTTTTTTTTTTTTAATTTTTGAGTTACAAAATGGCCCCCCTGTTTCTTTGAAATTGTTTATGCATGCCCTCTCTATGTTTTTACTATTTAGTGGTTTTTAAAATACTTTGTTATGGTTAATTCATTCAATTTGGTCTCACTTTAAGATTACCATTTGAGGTTCTTGCGAATTGATCCTTAGAAAAGTAATATTAAAAAATTAATTATGTAATCCTTCTTGAACGCGACCTCAGCTCATCATAGATTGCATAGAAGCTCATATCCTCATGTCCATATTTACTATATTTAGTAGAGGAAACCAATTGCATTTTATATTAAAAATTAAATTTTAATAATAAATAAACTGTCTTTAATAAAAAAAATAATATAAAATATATCAAAATATTTTATTAATTTTTCTTTACAAAATAAGACCAATATTGATATAGTTTTCCAAATATAAAATAGATTTCTAGTAAAGTATTTATTTTTAATATTTATTTTTAGTAAAATAAAATAATAATAAATTATATTTTTTAAACAAAATGAGTTTCGGTTGGGTTGTATAGATAGAAGGTAGAAAAATTAGTTATTTATAGAAATATTAGGTTGAATTAGGTTGCTAATGGGGTAGTCTAAGTCCTTTGAACTTCAAAGCGAAATCTTGATGTTGGAACCAATTAAAAATGACCATATTTAAAGTATTTTGAACTCTAAAAGACTTATATAAATATTAGTTATGATCACGATTCTAAAAAGTGCGTTATGACTTAACTTTGATCTTATTGCCAAGTTAAACCTCACGTTATTTAGAATCTTAGTTATAATTTTGAAATTTAAAGAATAATACATTTTTAGAAAATCAAGATTAATGGAGAATTTTTCCATCAAAAAATTTATATGGAAATGCCTCAATTGTTATCTAATTACTAATACTTTGATATTAGATATTTCATATTTGAGATAACATAATGTTATTTTTTTTCTCATTTACATTAAATATCAATCAAGAAAACTTATATGGAAATGCCTTAATTGTTATCTAATTACTAATACTTTGATATTAGATATTTCATATTTGAGATAACATAATGTTTTTTTTTCTCATTTACATTAAATATCAATCAAGAATTCTCTTTGCTTTAATTAAAATACATTTTGTTTATATGATTATTATGTAACCTACTTTGATTTTTGTTATACTTTAACTTTTTGTTATATATAATTAAAATTGATTCTTTTTATATTTGAATTTCAGAAATATTATTAAAATTTTAGATTTTGTTATAGTCTTAATAACTTTCTGTTAAATTTCAGTATAAATTTTTTTTTTAGAATTTCTAATTTTTTTTTTGGATTTTTTACATGTTTTCATGAAATTTCAAAATACATATATTTTACTTTTTTTTACTCTAAAATCCAAATTTTGGATCTCAAATGTTTTTTTTTTTCATAAATATACCTTTAATATGACATAAGGTGGTTTCAAAAATAATTTGATTCATCCCAAAATATCTTATCTAAGACATGATAGTCATTTGAATAAATACATAAAAATGTTAATAACTTATAAGGGTAATAATCTTTACACAATATACACATTTATGGCAAATAAACTTGCTTACCTTGTTCACAAAACACTACTATGACTGACAATTGTAGGTTTAGCTTGTTTTTGACGAATTTGGTATCTCCAACGAGTCTTGTGATAGCATGATTTTCACAACAAGTTCTTTCTAGAATCCAAAACACACAAAAGCAAGGTTTCAATCTTTGATCAACAACTCAATAACACACAGACATGCGCACACACACACACACAAACATCACACCTAGATTTTGATTTGCAGATAAAAAAACACATTTCAATGTTGAAACACAAGAGCACACATATTAAATATGGAACACAAGAAAATACACATTAGATTTGGGTTTTAAAATCAATAACATATTGAACAATATGAATAACGAGACATATCATGGTTGTGATGTCTTTTTGAGGCATTTAATTAAATTATTCCAACTATATTTGGTTAAGTATTGATTTCCTCCTAAATAAGTATATTTGGCGTTTTCTTGCATTCTTATAATATGACGCATAAGTGTTTGGGTTGCTGGAATTGTGACGGATGCATACAAATTTATTGTGTTTTTCCAAGGCCTTGTGGTATGCAATTTTATTAGGATATAGTGCATATGTTTCTAGGCAACAAATGATTTTTTTGTTCTTTTGTTTTTTGTTTTTTCTTTTTGCAAAAATCGAAACTTTTAACATACCATAGGGAAAGCATTTGATTGCTGGAGGGAGAAAGCAACAAAAGCAACACGAGATAGCAACCAAAGAATGACGACTTTGACTAAACCAGAGAATGTCTTGAAACGAGCTACATGCGATGCCGTGGGGAGTGGTCACAACCAAACCACCAACCAACTCAACGTCACGTAGATATTTTATCATTTTACAACCAACCTACCAGGTTGTGGAAATATTGTTCACCGGTTGTTAGTAGTGAAGAGGCAAAAAGGGGGAGAGTGAAAGAGAGAAATTGTGAGGGAAAAATTAAAAAACCAACGAAAATGAGGTCTTCTTCCGTCTTCACAACCACTATAATCCACTTCATAATCAACTCAACGGTCTATAGGACGGTGTTCACCGGTGAATCATATATATATCAGGTAGGAAACTCAGGTGTGGGTGTGAACCCATTCCATATAGCCTGAGTGGCGTATTGGTGATTACGAATCAAAAGTAACACATTTGGGTCTAAGATTTTGATGGGCAAGTTTCATCTCTTCGTATAAAAAAAAATGTACATGTACATGTTCCACTCTTCTGCTCGAAACGCCGGAATCCTTCTAATTTATAATAAGACTTGTATTGAACAACTTATACAAGACAAGTCATGACAATCTATAGTTTACAAATACAATTTACAACACAAGTTATAAAAGAAAAAAATTTCATGTCTACATAAGATTACAAACTTCAAAAAAATCAACGGTCAAAATCACGTTGAATATGCCTCAATTTTCTTACAACTTGCCTCATCGTCGGTCTCCCGGAAGGTAATTCCGTCGTACACATCAAACCCAACTTCAACAGATCCAGCAGCACATTTTCCGGTCCCGCCTCCCACATTCCGGCAGTAAACCTCCTCCGCCCGCCCCTCTCGCCGGAGCGTCCTCGCCCAAAACACAATCGTGTACCCATTATCTTCTTTCGCAAACGACGGATCCAAAGCCCGTTTATCTGAAATCAATTCAAGTAACATCACTCCATAGCTGTACACATCCGCCTTATCAGAAACCCTACACGCCAGAGCATATTCCGGCGCCACGTATCCAAATGTCCCGGCAACGCCGGTGGTCACATGTGTCTCGAACCCCTCAAGAAGACGTGACAACCCAAAATCAGATAAGCAAGCTTTCAAATCCTTATCTAATAAGATATTGCTGGGTTTTACATCTCGATGAAGTATACGAGGATTACAGTCGTCGTGTAGGAAAGCTAGGGCTCCGGCGATATCTAATGCGATTTTGTGAACCATTTTCAGACCGATTACATGATTTCTTTTGTCCCGAATAAGCTCTTCCAGGCTGCCGCCGGGGAGATAGTTGTAAACGAGAAACATTTCCGATGGGCTAGCGTAGTATCCGATCAACGTTATGAGATTCGAATGTCGGATTCGACCTAGGGTTCGGATTTCGGCGTTGAATTGAGGAACCCCTTGGCACATCTCGACGGTGAGCCGCTTGACCGCGACGGTGATTCCCGGAGATATCTCCGCTCGGTAAGTCGACCCGAAACCGCCGCTCCCGATGCAATTTCTTGATGTGAAGTTCCCGGTTGCTTCAATGACGTTGTTGAAAGTTAATGGTACCCCTACCTCTCGGAAAATCACGAGACGTTCGTTCCCGGAACGTGGCGGAGATGGGATGATGTTGATGCCGTCGACTCGGGAACTCCGTCTCCGGTTCCTCATGTAAAAGTAGACAATGATGACAACCAAAAGAATTAGAACAATGAGTGATGCGACTAAAATTAACACCCATTCAAAGGGACTTAATCCTTTTTTGTTCACGCCATTGCCCCTGGAATCTTGAAGCGCACGCCGTGGCTGTGGCGGCAACACCGGTAAAACGTCAGGAATAGGCCCTTGGATTCGGTTTCCAGTGAGATTTAGAACGCTTAAATTCTTACATTCTTCGAATGATTTGTGGATTTTCCCAGATAATCTGTTAAACCCTAAATTAAGAACCTTCAACTTCTTCAAATTGGAGAAATCGACCATGGATAAGTCTCCGGTAATCAAATTCCCTTCAATGTCGATCACTTCAAGACTCTTTAACCCCCAGATTTCATTAGGCAACTCACCGGCGATTCGATTAAATGGAATTGACAGAACCTTAAGTTCCAAAAACTTCCCAATTACATTTGACAATTTCCCACCTAAAAATTTCCCCTTTTTAGGGTCAAAATGGTGATTACTCAAACAAGAACTCGAATGACCAAAATTACCTCCTGGTATTCTCAGCTCAGAAACCCTACCATGTGAGTTGCACGTGACTCCAAACCAAGAACAGTGATCCGGGGCTGTATATTTCCAGCTTGATAGCATGTTGTGAGGATCGAAAATGGCGTTCTTGAGCTCCAAAAGTTGACCCTTGTCTAAAAAGTCAACAACTTTCCCAGAAACCGAACAGAACAACAACAGACAAAACAGAGCAAATAAACCCATCTCTTTTATTTGTTCGAAATCAAAACTTATTGCAGAAATCGATTCACATAAGCTTTTTCAAGACTTTGGTGTTGGAAAGAGCTTGAAAAAAGGAGTTAATTTTGGGGGGAAATTGGAAATAGAAGCGTGCAAGAAGGTTTCTTCATGGGTTTGTTTGATTTTGCGTTTAGTTTGATTTGGTATTCTAATTGGTAATTTGGTTTTGATTGGTGGTGGCAGGGCCGCGTGAGGCAGTGGAGCCCGGTGGAATTATGGGTGGATCGTCAAAGTCAAAAGGGTGGTCACCCAGTCAACACACGGCGGTTCTATTGGAAAAATAATAACACGCAACGTATGGAAAACAGTCGACAAGTCGGTGACTGGAGTAGACTTTAGGCATTTTGAAGCCAATCACTTTGCTGACTGGACTGCCAACCTATTAACTTTTATTTATCTTTCAAAAATATCACCTTTTCAAGAAAAAGGTTACTTTTTTTTTTTTGACAACTTACGAGTGAACATTTTCTTCAAAAATAATAATTAAAAAATAATTGTAATGTTGAACATTTTCTTCAAAAACAATAATAAAAATAATAATCGTAATGTTGAACGCCTCAACGATTTGAATCTGGGTTAACTTTATTTTGAAAGAGTTTTATATCAAATGATTATCATTATTTTATATTGTAAAAGTTAAAGCCGGTGAGGCCTTCCGGTATGGGAGGGAAAACTACGCATAGAAGCTGACATGGCAAACCAACTTACGCGTGAACACCGTTTCAAGAGCACATAGGTAGCTTGTGGTGTAGTACTATTCACGGACGATGACAGCCAATAGGGAAGGAGAGAGAAACTAACGGTCATATATTCAATCGTTTAATCAAATATATATATATATATATATATATATATATATATATATATATATATATATATATATATATATATGAAAAGTGAATATGTGGTTGTTATTTAGATAAACTTAGATATAAAACCTTGTAAACGATGTAATTTAAACAAAATATATCAATTTTCAATTTCTTTTAATTTTATTTTAATAGTATACCATTGAATTGAATCAAATTATGGAATGAAAAAGATCAATTATATATCCTTTTATTGCAAATAATTCTAGAAGTTTATAGGGAAGGTAAAGAACTAATATTTTTTAACGAATATAACTCAAACGTTTTGTCATTAAATTTAAAAAATATATCCAATGATTTTGTGAAAAGTTTGATTGAGTTATTGCGTGTTCTTCTTTTATCTTTTATTCTATTAGTTTTCATTTAAAATTTAGTAGGGTTGATTAAATAGTCATGACTTTCAATGCTTTAAGTTCTTAGATACATTGAAGAAAAAGAACATAAATTCGATCGGTTTAGTAAGTCATGTGATTAAGGAATAATATTAAATGAGATATCATGATTAGTTTGGAAATATATGGATCAAAATTGCATAGTTTGTAGGGTTCTATATATAAGCTTAGTGTAACATCCCAAGTTCAGAAGCAAGAGTTCAGGGGTGTAAATTGTACATTGAGGGAGCTACTCGATGAGTAGGTGCGGTTACTTGTCGAGTCGGAGCGGGATTTGGTTGCGAGTTAAGTGACCAACTCGCTGAGTCGGTAGCTGGACTCGACGAGTAGGACAAATCTATGGATTAGAGGAACAGATCTGACCTCAGGAGATCAATGGAGTTTGTGCATGGCATGTACTCGCCAAGTTGTTCTTGAGACTCGGCGAGTTGAGTCGGGGTGGCCCCGCGATTCATACCTGGGGACTCATCGAGTAAAGGGAGGGACTCGATGAGTTAAACGGGACTAAAAGAGTTAGTGGACACATGTGGACTCGCCGAGTTGCCCAAGTGCACTCGATGAGTCAGGTCAAAGTTTGACCGTTGACTTTGGTTGACTTTTAGGGTTTGGTCAACAATGAGGGCCTTTGAGCCAAAGGAGGGGTAAAATGGTCTTTAACCCTTCCGAGGGTGCCTAGAGAGGGTTAAGTCTAGTTCTGAGAGTTATATTTATAAGAGTATTACTTTATGTGCTTAGGCGGAGGCTAGATCGTATTTCTACTGAGTCAATGATTTACTAGGACATCTGAGGTGAGTCTTCTCACTATACTTTACCTTGAGTGGTAATTAGAGATATGTGCAGAGTTATCGTATGCTATTATGTGATGTGTTGTACTTCATTATTTCTATGTGGTTTATATCATGTGTATATCAAAGTATATCAGAGTTAGAACCGAAAGGTTCACAGAGTTAGGACCAGAAGGTCCACAGAGTTAGGGTCCATCGGCCCACAGAGTTATAGCCTCGAGTGGCTAGTAGGTGTTATGTATGGTATTTTGGGGAACTCACTAAGCTTTATGCTTACAGTGTTATGTGTTATGTGTTTCAGGTACCAGTGATGATCGCGGGAAGGTGCCGACATGATTCGTACACACGCATGGATTTTTATGTATTTTGATCTTGGGAAATATTTTGTGAAACAAAGTTATGATACAATGGGATTTTGTTGATAAATGTGTTTGGAAAAATGTGTTTAAAAATGTGAAAATTTGTTTTAAATTTTACGGTGTTACAATTTGGTATCAGAGCCTTGGTTTGAGGGATTCAGATGCAACTTCGGGCGTATCTAGACTCAAACTGAGGATTTTAGGGAAATTTTTTTTTTAATAATAAAGTAATTTTTTTTAAAAGGAGTAAAAAGAGTTTTGAAACAAACAGAGCAGAGTCGTGTGTACGATCAGCCAGCACCCGAACGGTGATTTCCCAAAATACCCTTACCATAAGTTGTAAAAGAAATGTTATGCTGTGACATCCCCAATTTCACGGCCAGAAAAGACCGATTTTGTTTACACTTTATTTCAAAATCAGAGTAACCTTTTAATAAAAGAATTGCGCAATTTGTCCCAAAACAATAATATGATAAAGATTTATCAAAAGCATTTCCTTAGAAATGTATTTCATTAAAAGACTTGGGATGTCATGTTCGATACAGTACATAAGTATAAACAGTACATTATAAGTCTTACAACAATTATTTACAACTAATGGCCTATAATCCAAAAGTCCTTCATCATCATCATAATTATGCTCTGAGTCCACTACCTGTAAAACAGAAAGCTGATTGGGTCATGCTTGGGAGCCTGGTAAGCATATAGGGTTTTCAACCCACAAATAATAATAAAGTTATTAATTTCATCGATCAACAATAAATTTATTAATTTCATCAACCAACAATAACCCTGATTATCCATTCCCGTTATCCTCACTTTACGTCCCTAAACACCTATACAAGGGACCTACTCTAAGGATTTTATCATCGAGATGGACACTACTGCTAAGGGGGTTCCTCAACAATAAATGTCCTAAAGGAAACCATGAGGGGGATGGAGTACACCGGTGAACACATCGTTCACAACACCTACAGGTTGCGAGCTTGCTAGCGTTCCACTAAACTGTCTAGAAGAGTCTGTGGTCGTCATCCATACTCCGCTAGATGACTGGAACAACAACAACATCGAGGCCTCTCATCATTTTAACACACATCAACTATTTTGTCTACCCATGTTCTACCCAACATATTTGTAGATAAAATACATATACAGTTTATAACTTGTATAAAACATTGTTTTCAACAATCATATGAAATAAACAATCAATATAATTACACATAACACGTATTTTATAGAAAATACTTCATATCTATGTGTAAGATGAAAATGACTATACACTCACTTGATTTGATGATAATCGGACAACAATTCGTTCCTTAAAATGATCGTTTTTGATAAAACTGGGAGTTTTATTGAGAAACCGGGCTCTGCGAGAGTTGGAGCTTCAAAACCGAAAAGATAAAATTTTTAGGGTTTTCGGGCACTTCGGGATGTATTCCGGGCTTTAAAAATGATACTGGGGCTTCGGGGGAAGTCAAAATAGTCAAAATATAAGTTTAGGGGTGAAAAATGTCAAGTTTTCAAAAGTAGTCGGGAGATCTCGCAGCCCCCCTATTTATAGGGTGCGAGGCCGAGGTCTCCGTGGCTGAGAAGCTTCCACGTAGCTGCTTGTGAGGCTCGATGACGAAGGGAGGAGGTGGCTGTGAGGGAACGAGGCGCGTGGCAGCAGCGAGGCGAGACACGGAGGCGGCTACGAGGGTCGGACATGTCTCTGCGAGGTTCGGACACGCGGCGGCCACAAGGCGGCTTCTGATTGGCCGAGGCTTCGGTCTGAGGGAATTGCGACACACGTCTGGTCCCGATTCGGCCACGTCTTCGGTGACGCAGCAGCTTCGGCCTCAATGACGTGTCCGGTTACTGTTCATGCGAAAATTTCCGAATTTTGAGCCCCGAACTTCTAAAATCCATAACTTTCGCATACGGGCTCCGTTTTTGACGTTATTTATATGCACGCGTAGCTAAAATCATGCTCTACAACTTTTGTTCAGACTTCATCCGCTAATTTTGACTTTAATTTTAATATTATTATTTTTAACAGATTGGGACAGGAAAATCCGTTAAAAATTCATAACTTCTTCATCCGACGTCCGTTTTTGTCAGTATTTTTACCATTGTACTACTATTGACGAGACCTTCGATTCTCTTTTAGGTTGTGTCGGCTAAATTTCGCTCGATCTTAAATTCGAGTATTTAGCTGTCTACTGCTAAGCTAAAACTTAGAAAAATCATAACTTCCTCATACAAAGTGAGATTTGGGCATTCTTTTTATCGAACTTCTCAGTTTAACGAATACTACGACTTTAGTTTAGATTGTTAAGGCTAAAAAGCAATTTATCGTAATATTCACTTTTTACGCTTCCTGGTGCCGTGCCGGTTTTGTCACGAAACTTCGACAGGTCATAACTTCTTCGTTATAACTCAGATTTCGACATTCTT